TTATTTTGTCTCACTGTGTACTATACATATATTATTCTGGCAACATTAGTAATGGCATTAGAAAGGAAATTTTCCGTTTACGTACTTATACAATATAAATTCTAAAATTTACTACAGGTAATTTAACAGTTTTTTTTACAAATTACAATAATAATCAACGATATTTAAAAGGGAATTCTCCGTTTACATATACCGAAATTGGTCGAATATAACTTATTTTTTGCTTAACAGTTTATGTATTGATTTTTTGCTAATAAATATTTTTATATGTAAATATATTTTCGGGTTTTATCCTATTTGTATTGCATTTAATTTTTAAGTTTTATGAATTTTATAACTACTTTTGTTGTTAAATAAAATGAAATTATTTTCTTTTGTCTTCTTTTTTACGTTATTTACATTAAAACAAACAAAATGATATTAAACAAATTCCAAATACATATATACCATTTTTTGTAATTTTTCGATTTACACGATTTCCATACAAATTTTTTTTAATTCGTTTTACATTTCTCGGTAACGTATCTATTGTGCAAAACGAGTAACAGGTGCATTAACACTATAAAAACCATTAATGATAAGGAAGGTCACTCAAGCCCAATGTCAAAGAATACTGGTGCCATACCAAAAAACAATACAAATACATTGAGCTCGCATAAAACGGAAAAGATCCAAACGGAAATGGACCGTTATGTCACTTATATAAAACGTATAAGGACTTCAAAATTGAAACCAAATTCAAAACAGTCGAAAACAAATTCGGTAAGTCAAAATCGTTTGTCTTTAAAAGACCACAAGCCACCCTCCCTCTATTTGCGGGAAACTACCACAAATCTATTGGTTAATCAGTTGGCCCAACTTGTGGGCAAATAAAATTTCCACGTAGTCTCTCTACGCAAAGGAAACATTCAGAAAACAAAAATACAGACTTATTCAGAAATGTCTTTTAGAACAATAGTTGATAGTTTTGATTCCGAAAAAAGAAATTATTACACGTATCAAACAAAGGGTTTGGCAGTAGTAGAGTTGTTGAAATTACTTTTGACTCATCCAATATGCAGTTTAAGATATCTTCTTAATCGCAAAATAACTGTAGAGCAACCCATTAAGCGCAAAGGTCCTCCTCAAGAGAAAAGAGAACACACAGACGTCAATGGCAACAATCGCGATCTCCAAACATAAAGGTTAAACTTAATCAGTGGCAAAGAAGACTTCACATCGCTTAAGAAATAATAAGGAATTTAATCTGAGAAATTATCTCAAAAACTTAAACCCTATTAAGAAAACAGAATATAGTCTCTTGACAACTGCTAAACATATGCAATGCCCTATTGCTTATGAGGCACCCATAAGCCTCCAGAATGGTCAATGGGCAAGAAATACGCCAGAAAAACTTGAAGCATTCGCCAATCACTTGGACAATGTGTTTACTGAAAATGTGGTTCCACGCCCAATAAAATTCCGGTTCTCTACCGTGAAGACGACAATCAAAGGTCTAAAGGCACGATGATAAGTAACCTGCTCAATTTAGCACTGACAATTATTTTGTTCATCTTTAACTCGATGCTACTTATTGGATATTTCCCTACCTCATGGAAAGTATCTGAAATTGTTATGATACCAAAACCGGGAAAAGATATCACTCAAGTGACCATTAGCCTGTTGTCTATTTTCTCAAAACTTTTTGAAAAGTTATTACTTGAAAGGCTTATAGTACACCTTAACGATAATTGCATTATTCCTGGCCATCAGTTTGGTTTTAGAAGAAAGCACAGCACTATCGAACAGGTACATCGAATAAAAACTTTTATTCGGAAGGCTTTCGAGAGCGAGCAATATTGCTCAGCATTATTCATAGATATTTCTCAAGCTTTCCATAAAGTCTGGCACGATGGACTAATACACAAAATTATCACATTACTCTGCGAATGTTCACAAACTGCTTAAAAATTACATATATGAAAGATCTTTTCAAATCAGATCTAAAGATTCTTCACGTCGAAAAATATCTGCTGTAGTACCCCAGGGGAGTATTCTAGTAAGTATTCCATAAGTCTGGCACGATGGACTAATACACAAAATTATCACATTACTACCTGCGAATGTTCACAAACTACTTAAAAATTACATATATGAAAGATCTTTTCAAATCAGATCTAAAGATTCTTCACGTCGAAAAATATCTGCTGTAGTACCCCAGGGGAGTATTCTAGGTCCTATATATTTTATATACTGCAGATATGCCAACGAGCGCACTCCAATTTCACATCGGCGAATTGGAAAAGTGGCTGGACAAATGGAAAATAAAGGTCAATGCAATGTTACATTTATTTTAAGACGGGAAAATTGTCCTTCCGTACAGATAAATAATATAAAAATTCCTGAACAAAGCCATGTGAGATATCTTGGTATCCACCTTGATCACCGCTTAACATGGACTCACCACATTGAAGCCAAGGTTACACAAATAAAATTAAAGCCAGCTCCAATGTACTGTCTAATTGGATCACGGGCAGCTCTAGACTTGTTGTACAAAGTGCTTTTGTACAAAACAGTTATAAAACCGATATGACTATACGGTATTCAACTTTGGGGAACAGCCTCCTCATCTAATGTTGAAAAATTACAAAGAAAGCAGTCAGCACTGTTAAGGTCAATAACAGCTGCCCCGTGGTACATTCGCAATAGTAATATTCATAGGGATCTCAATGTTCCCATAATACGCGAGGAGATCAAATTCTCTTGTTTAAACTACTTGTCGAAACTAATGGATCACCCTAATCCCCTTGCCAGGGAGTTGCTGTCATTTGAGGGTCATAGACGACTGAAAAGAACTGAAACATTGGATTTTGCCAGATAATCAAATGATAGAGAACTTTGGTTGAAATTTCAGCGGCAATAACAACGTTAGTTATAATTTCGGTTAAGATTTTAATACTTATTGTAAATTTCTATATAAGAAAGATTCAATAAAGAATAAATAAAATGAAAAAAAAAAATTAAAAAATGAAGAGAGCCATACGACTGTAAAATTTTCCATCCGTATTTTCTCTCAATGTGTGATGGTTTCATTACATATTGCGTTTAGACGATTCCATCCGTTCTCTTCTACACAAAATATTACTTGTGTGCTCGTCTGAAGGGATCTTAAGTCTTTCGTTAAATTTTTACTTTATTTACGTTTAAAATAAGTGTAGGAATAATACCGGTACCAAAAAGCTTATTAAAATTACTAATTAAAATGAGTAATAAAGGATCTTTTTTTGCAAAATGTTGTCAAATTGTATCTAGGCCACTATCTTCTGTTTAATATACTATTGCAGAAAATTGCAAAATAACCGGGAAATTTAGAAATGTCTACTTATAGAGGCCCTGGAAAATTTGTTGATTTCTAGGTGGAGCGAAAATTTGAACGGATATGAGACATTATTTAGAAATTAGTGTCATGGATATATCCAAGAGTTGTACAATAAGTGAAAATGTAATTGCAAATGCACAATGAATGTGAAGTAACGCTTGGAGTATCCCAAAATTACGCAAAACTACATATATTTTTTACAGATGAATGTAAGTACATTTTACGAACAGAATGTCGATGATTTGTATGGTGTAAAGATAATAGTGATCAGTTCGCGGAAGAGCAATGGACAATATAATTAATTAAATATTTTAAAACAGCATTTGGAAGCCAATACAGTAAAATTTGTCATAAATGACGATTTTCAGTTCGTTTATGATAACAACCCAAACCAAAAATTTTATGTGAACGGTTACGTGACAACGTAAAAGAAGTACTTTCTACCCTTTCAGAGTCTAAATCTTAATCCCATAGAATATATATAGGGAATTTGGAGAAACAAATTATAATTATAAAATAAAATATTATTATAACAAACCAAAATTTTATTGTTATAACAAACCAATGATGAAATAGCAATTCATGCGGAATGGCGGAATATTCATACCGAAATCGATAGTAAATCGGTCACAATCTATGAAAAATAGTTTTTGAGGTATTACCGAATTTCTTTGAACTATTAAAACTGTGCTTACCTAATTTAGGACACGTTTAAGTTCTGAGCATTATGATGTACGGACACTTGTTTGAGTTTGATTATAGAGGTATTGCATTAAAGAAATAATTTACAAAAACTAGAGAATTATTCAAAATTTTTGATAAAAAACAAATTTTTCGAACAAATATTTTAGAAAATATTACAAAATATGTTTTTAAATACATACCCTACGGAGACTTATTTGAGTCTCACGAAGGTGAAGGGTATACAAATCTGTCTATGAATTTGTTTTTCTATCCTTCCTTAAACATTTGTGTTCCTACTAGTTTCCTAGATACATATGTGCACAAATTGTAATCAGTATTTACTAAAGTGCTGAAAATTAATATTATTTCATCTACTCATTTTTATAAATTTTGTTGGGTTGAAAAATTAACAATAAACTATGTAAATAATAAATATTTTTTATATTTTTAACACTTTTTTGTAAATATATGTACATGGACATTTTTGTCACATTGCCGCAGTGCTGCCACACGACTGTTCCAGTTCAAAAATACGATGCTTTGCTACAGTTATATTATGTTTTACTTTCTTGATAAAAAGGCCTTGATAAATTGGTCTTAATTGTCGCGTGGTCCAATAAATTGTAAAATCACACGATTGGGGCATAAAATAAATAATAAATTGGGTATTTGCGGCATCGTGTAATCCTACCTTAAGATTTAAATGAAAGGTAGAAAACTAAAGCTGCTAATTAATATAAAACTTTAAAAAATAAAAAATAGATTTTTTGTTTTATTTAATTTTGAATTTTGTTTTTAAATTTCAAAACAATTTTATGCAAATAGAAAATTTTAATTATCTTTCTTCTGGAAATTATTAACACTAATAATATGTTCTTCTACGTAAATTCATCATTTGTGAATTAATTTTTCAGTAAATGTTTGATATTAATAGTAAAATAAAATACTGCCAACAATGTATTGTTTAATAGAATTCTTTATTTCAAATACATATTTTTCTCATGTATACCAATACTCTAGTTATCTAAATCATATAAAAATACAATTAACTTTTTTAAAACTACATATAATTAAGACTTTTTTCTTTAAAATTTAATAATAATGTTTTTTTTAATTTCAACATTTCAATTTATATCACAATTAATCGCCAAATTATTCCAAGACTGACTTAATTAAAGCTTTCTTTTAAATAAATAAACATTACAATATGTATTTTTCTTTTTAAGAAAAAAATTTAACTTAATATACCAAAAAAATTTTCATTATATTTTAATGTGTATTTACGTATGTTTTTAAACGCTTTTATTAAAATTAAAAACGAATCAAAGCAATGTTCAAAAATATTAATAAGATTTTATTGATTTATATATAGTATGTACTTCAACTATTAACTAGTGAATTTATATACCTATACCAATAATGCTATAGATGAATTAGTTGTTAACGGTTTAGAACCATCTTTTTCCAACCATCTTTGTACGTTATTTGATGGATGCATGACATGTATATTTTCGTTATAGATTGATTGCATTTGAAGGTTGACGCAGTATGTTTGCCCATACGTGAATGTCTCATTTCTGGAAGATGAAGATGACTCACTATAAGAAGACGTAGAACTTTCATAGCCTGAAGATGCTGGTGAACCTTTAGGGCACTGAAAGTTAATTGGTGACATTGTGGGGACAGAGGTGGCTGGACTGCAGGCACTTCTTGGACTTTCACATCTAGATTCTACAAGAAAATTAGTACTATCTCCACAAGTATTAATGTTTTCCTTCACGACTTCTGGAAACGTTTTTGCATGTACAAAAACTTCATTAGAACTATTAGTTATTGTTGTGGAATTACCATTTGCAGAGCTATTGGTTAAAATTTGTTCTAACTGTTCGCTTTGTCCATGTTTGCTAAATTTATTTATATTATTACTATTAACGTTGTTGTCTTTGCTTTCACACTCGTCTAGCAAATATGGTTTAAAAAGCTTTACTGGCTTCGACGATGGTGGAAATTTTTCTTCGATTCCTACTTCAATTTCAATATCATCGTCTTCATAGGAGTTTGTAGATGAAATATCGGATAATTTCGGATGTTTATCGGATAATTCATCTTTACAATCGTCATCGCTTGAATGGGGAATATTAAGAACTCTTCTTTTACGGTATGTCAAATCAACTACACCTGTCTTATCATTCCAAACTTTTCTTTCAGGAATTTCCGTTTGTTTAAAATCCGTGTTATGGATGCCGGATATTGTGTTCATAACATATTTAGATTTAGTATCTCGACGATGTCGAACTGATAAATCCATTGGGCCAAAGGAGTATGCAGTGGAATATGACGTGTTTTCCTTTAATTGGTTGATACTGAATGGAACACTGATATTAGAAGTGCTAATTACCTCTGCGGACTCGGGACACTCATAACTGACATGAAACTGATTATTATTACACAAAAAGGCATTTTTATCAGACACAAATTTAGGATATGTTTTAGTTCCCATTGGCATCAAATCCAATTTGTTTGTAACTTCAGTATCTTCTAAATAACTGCTGGTTACAGAGGAAGCCGATGATAAAACTTGTGGTGGTTGGATGCTCGCGAGACTTATTGGCGTAAAATATGAAGAATTCTGCTGTTTCTCTGTTTGAAGATTTGATAATGTTGGAGAATATGCCATATTGTGGTACTGGTAAGATGTCTGAGGTGATGGGTGGGTGTGCTGGTGCATGTGTTGCTGCGGATTAGATAGATGATGTGCTAATATCGGCACCGTAGCAGAAGAAGACATAGTACTGTATGATGGGATTCCATAGTGATGGTGAAGTAAAGGTGATATTGGCGCATTTGTATTTCTATTTGATATAATAGTCACTGAAGGTCGTAAAGGAGATACAACTGCTGTTGATGATGTATCAGAAGAGCTAGTAATAGCGATAGATCCCGCTGCAGCAGCAACAACAGCAGCCAAATTTGAAGCTTCGAAAATATCGTGGGATCCCTGAGATGTGGGTGTTTTTACGCAAGAAGATAACGATGGCACTTTAATAGAATTAAGAGGAACAGAACCCCTTGTTGAATCTAGGCATAAATGTGTAGAATGTAGTTGACTTGATGTGTATGATGAACTATTACTCACTGAATTTGTGGTAATTCCAATAATTTTTGACTGTTGTTGCTGTTGCATACTGACATTGTGAAATTGGTGTTTTATTGATGTATGATTTATATTCGCAACTGAGGAACGGAGGCTAGACTCACATTGAAGCCATTTTTGAATTTGTCGTCGATGTATATTATATTTTCTGGCTGTAGCTCGTTGATTTCCTTTACAATCGTTGTCATTTCTATACGATTCTAAAACTTGCAGCTTGAATTGTGGTGTAAATATTCGTCTGGATCCCATTTTCGGACTATGCGAATTATTATTAGTAGTACTAGTAGTAATTCCTTTGATACTTGGCAATGAAACCTGAGAAGTGTGTACATTTTTATTATACGTCGTTTCCATATTTAATTCTTCTTTATTTTCATTACTTAAAATAAGTTTCGAAGATCCACTTTTAGTTTTAAGAATATTGTCACTTTTTTTAACTATTTGATGATCATTTTCCATTTTTATTTATTTGTATTTAGTTAATTATATATTTATATTAAAATTAAGTCACTTCCGATTACAAAAAATAACTTTTTTCATTGTTTTTATTTCAAATATTAAATAAAATATTATATATAGCTTTTATGCTTTTTCATTCACTAACTATGTACTTTTATATTTTTGAATACATTCCGACGGTTATTTTTGTATATGTGAATGACTGAACACCTTAAAATCCAAATCACAAGTGTAATGCGTTCTATTTCGAAGACTCGTTCTAGTTGTTTTGCTGTATTATGTATTTTTTATCTGCTACCGAAACAACATCGTACTTGTTGGCTGTCGACGCTGTGTCTGTTAGTGTGAATGAGCACAAGTATAAAATGTTTTGTATTCTTTCACTGATTCTAATTGTTTTTCTTTTGAAAAAGTGTGAACGTCTTCAATAGGTGCGGGATTGGAGGTGTGAAACGAAACAAACAGCGGCAAAACAACAAGAACACGTTCGATCACTTCGTTTTTTCTTTTCCAACTAACTAAGCAACGATGAAGAAATATATTTCAATGTTTATTTCACCAGACACTGGTAGACATTCTGGCTCTAGGTATTTTACTTGTGTTGGTGTGCTACAATTCACAAATGTGCTCTACACACATACATAGGAAAAAATATCAAAAATCAACTGTTGCTTTATTGTATTGTATGTATATGAACCTTCATGTATACAGATGTGTGCATGTAGGTAGAACAAGTACAATTTCTCATTGATTGATATTTTCGTATCTCTTTACACAAACATTGTGTCTGAGTACAAATAAAAAGAATAAGAATAATATGCATATGTGTAAGTTTCTACAAAACAAGTACGGCATGTTACATATAAATGCTGACTGATAAGCATTTAATGTTAATAGGAGCAACAGTAGTTTCACATTACTTAAAATAATCGAAAAACAAAATTTTAATTAATCAAAATAATAAATAATATATGGCCCATTTCTGTACTATTAATTTTCGTACCATACATATGGGCAATTTCTTTTAGATTCCATTTAGAGTCAATCTTTAGGTCAACGATTTGCGTTTAAATAGAAATTAATTCTCGAAAATTGTTGTTAAGCATCCAATGGAGGTGTTTAAACTTAATCATGAAATGCAAAAGTGTAAACCTTAGAGTTGTCTTCTTCTTTTTTTATAAAATATACATTGTTTTGATAATAAATAGTAACGTTTGGTTTGTATGTCAACACTGCGAAGTTTAAATTGGTAGTCAAAACCATCAAAGGGGATTAACATTAGATTCAATTTATTTTTGGATTTACTAATCTGATTACACTAGTTACGATTTTGCTCATGATATAAAACCTATATCTTTATTTTGGACGTCTAAGTCCAGAAAAAATATTTAAAAAAAATCTTGGACGTCAAATTTTACTGGTCTTCCTCACAACTCTGTAACAATGGATTCCTATCACAAAAATATTAAACGTTGCAATAATCTTAAATCTTGGTGAATAAATGCAATTTTTATCACACACACTTCCAAGAGTTTTTCGGAAAAAGTATAAGTGGGAATGTAAGAAATGAACTATGAGGGGTAAATTCAGATCCGTAAGATTGTAATTCAGAAATAATTTAATTATTAAAAAAAATCACTAAAAATCAAGCCAAAAATAAAGAAATCTGATAAAAAGTGGGTTAATGAAGACTTAAATTTTATATTATTGATTTTTTCTGAGTTGATTGTTAGGTTCCCAACACAGGTGCAAGCACTCAAAAATCCATTCTCATTTTCAAATATTTTTCCATCACTACTGAAGAAGGATGTTTAACAAAAACCACTTTATCTCAAAATTTCGACGTATAGGAAAAAAATAAAAATTTTTAATTAACAACTGGACATAGCCCTTTCTAAAAATATATGTTTCATTCCATGAACAAACAAAAAATATTAATTTGTAAACTAGTGTTATTAATTGGCATTTAATTGCCAGCTTAAAAACCCAGTTAAATAGTTAAAATATGTAAGGACACTGCAACACGTGCAATATATTGCTCACTTACTAAAGGTTTTATCCCGTGCGTTAAAAAACATTTCGCTGCAAATGCTTTAAATTTTCCGATATTTACTATAAACAAATTTAAAAAATTCTTAATACAAATCCGGAAATTTTCGATATAAATAAGTGTCATTGTAAGGAGAAAAGGCAAGAATATTGGCTGCGGTTTACCGCCTTCTAAATTTAGTACCCAAACTTGTACTTACTATTAAAAATTAATCTAAATTTGAAAAATTGATATTTTAAGTATTCATGCTCTATGTCAGTCTAGTGGCAAGACATTTTAAAGTTTATATTCACATAAAAAAGTTTACCCGAGTAAATTAGGACGGAGAGTCGAATGAAAATATATGGTAAGTGAAAGGAGGTCGTACTTATTTCACTCTACCTAAATTTGTGATTTTAAACGAAATTTCTACCTTGATTATGTGGACAAACTCACAAACTTAATGCTGTTGATATAATATTAAAAATTTTACTGACAACCCATTTGGAGGTAAGATATTACTGCTAACCTGTGGTTTCACATGCTCACAGAGCGGCTATTGTACAAACATCCAGTGTCGCCAGATGTAGGGATTTGTCCCAAAATTGGGGATTTCAAGTTTTATTTGGGGACATATTTTCGTGGGGAGGAATTTTCGTAAAATTTGGGGATTATTTATAATTTTTGCGATATTTTTGGGGATTTTTATATTTTTTCATAAATATTAATAATTATTTTCATTCTAGTTTACTTTTTTTATATAAGGGTCGTTTTAAAATATTTCAAACAGGTTTCTCCAACCTTACCCTCTCCTAGTTAGAGAAATTTGGTACACATACTCTTTGAATAGATGCAAAATTCAAAGTTCTAAAGAATTTTTAAAATCGTTAATTTTTAGATTATTTCTCATTTTTTTTCTCAAATGCAATTATAATATCGTATAATTTCTAAAATAATATTGGTCTAAAATTAATGGTTATGTGTTCGTGACAATTTTTGAGAAAAAAAATAGTATTGTTTTTAAACAAGGATAATCATTTTTTATAATACTAAGTAACACTAAAATTAGAATATAGTCAAAGCGATCACATATAAAGAATGGGGATTTCAAAAATGTTTTATTTTAGTGAAATAATCAAAAGCATTTTCATACAAATTAAATAAATTTATAATTAATTTTCGACGAACAATTTATTCTTTGTTCGAAATTTTAAATTATTTTTGTTCATCAAAGACAAAAATTTTAAACTTGAAGTGAATTTTCTAAAGATCCCCATGGTTGCATTCAGATTTTTGTATATGTTGTCGTTTAGTTTTTTATTTTCTTATATTTTCTCCTTTTTAAAGGACTTCAAAATTTTAAAAATATTAAAATTTATTAAAATATTTCTATCAAAAAGTTTTCATCAATATTGGTATCAAATTAAAGACAATGTACAGAAATCAAAATTATATTTTGTTTTTACTTTTCAGAACGAAAAAGTGTTAGTAATGTCTTTTGAAATTTTCATCCTTTTATATCTTTGAGAATTTTCAATATATTTTTCTCTAAAATGCATTCTTTACAACACACTTAAATATTGTTCAATATAGTCGCTAAAAATATATCATAACTCTAATACCCAATGTTAACTACAGCGAAATGAAAACCTACATTTTATATCATTGAATTTTTTTCTGAGTTGATTGTTAGGTTCCCAAACATTACAAGTTAACATTATTAACATCATAACTCCTAAATGAAATACAATAAATTAAAAATTTTAACACTATATTTTTAAGGGCATTGAATATTATATCGTTTTGATTTTTTTTTTTTTGGAAAATTGCAAAAATTGCATTGAACGGCATTTTTAAAAATTTACAGGAGAAGCAATAAACTATTTACATTGAAAAGTTTGTTTCGATTTTGAATTTTTGGATAGTTAGGGCCGTTTGCGTTTCCCGTGACGAATTATAATAACATCGCGTGAAGCCAAATATGTAATTAGTATATTACCGCACTGCCTTATTCCCAACACTGTTGCGATAATAAAAACCAATTTTTTAGGTCAATTTTGTTTTTAAAACTTCCCGCACCGAAAGCAATTTCAAAAATTCCTTTATTCGACATTTTTACTAAAATTATTTTCATAATTTTCATATAAAGAGGGTATGGCAAATGATAACAAATTTCTATGGTGGATTGTAATTTTCCTATGGTGGGAACATTTTTACACTTTGCTGTGCCAAACGATATCTTTTCTTGCTGTGATAAATTTTTACAATTTTCACTGGTTAATCCCGAAAATTTAACATTTCCAAGAAAAGTAAACTTTTTTGCGTCCTTTATGTATTTTATAAATAAATCTCTTTAATATAAAATGGATTTTGAAATGAAATTGTAAATTTTATGTTATTCATTTATTTATTTTTTTTGTTTTGTAAATTTTATATTTTCATTTGTCAGAAATTTACGTAGCCCAAAGAGCTAGTAAAATTTTTTTCACCACCTATTTATCAAAAATTTACTTTTACCAGTAAATTGCTATCGTTTGGCACACACTCAAAGTTATATGTACTATTATCTCATATAATATGAGATACATATATGCAATATTATGTCGATTTATTAAAAATTTGGCAACATTTTTGTAAAGGACAGTCCTCTCTATAAAATAATGCAAAATTGCTACTTTTACACATTTAAAAGAAGTACAAAACTTTATCATGTTTGGTGCGGGAACTTTTTTCACGATCGCGAAAAAATAATATCATATTCCGTAACATATGTCGAAGCTCTACAAGTTTATGCTATGGTATTTTTGATATTCGCAAAAATTGCAAAAATAACTAACCCTAATGTATGTATATGTTTTGTAAATATATGTGTACAAACACTGAAACAATTGGAAATAAGTAACCAAGTGCAGTTGAACAGGTTAACAAATTTTATTTGTAAAATAATTGGAATAACCATACGAAACAGTTTGATAACCTTTATGAAAGAACATCAACGTCACGTAATTTTCGTCAAATGTTTGATAGGTATGAATGGATCTTAATAGTTAAGACACCTAATAAAGGCGGATATTTTTGTCAAAAGTCCACAGAAATATTAAATAGCTTTACTTGCAATTTAGCATCATGATGGATTTTCATTGAAATTGGTAATTATACCCAGGAAAAACTTACATTAAAAAGTTAATAAAACCTCTTTTCACTACTTCTTCATTAGCATTTTAACTAATTATTTTAACACGGTGATGACATTTTAGGGAAGTTCTTCCACGATCTTTTACAAATAAGGAGTTAAAGAAGTATTTGAAATTTCTCTTACAAAGAAGTACTTCTAAGTAATGCCGACTGTAAGTAGTTGCCATTGAAAAGTTTGTTGTTGAGTAAGTAAAAGTCATTACCAGATCTTTGCTGGGTATGTATGTAGATTTTCAAATAAAATTTGTATATAATTAAAACGCTTTAATTGCAAAAAATCCTATTA